GAGTCCCATGTTGGCTGTAGAAATTACTTAAATAAGTAAACTTTTAAAATGTATACGGGTAAATATATGCCTTTAAAAAAAAAAATCCTTTGTGGCACCAGTTTCCTAAAGTCAAAGGAAAAGCCCAGTACAGGTCTGAGCTGAACCTTGTACCTGGCATACACGTTTGCCACTAAAATGAGTGTGTCCTGAAACTTCCCGGAGTCCTTCCGAGCTGTGTGGACACATGAGCTTAGAGTAAGTGGTCTCTGAGGAGTGTCCTGGTAGCTGCCGCTCACCTCAGCGTGTCCATCAGCCACGGGACTGGAACGTCCCTCAGTTTCCCTTCTGGAGGGTTGCCGGCCTCCGGGTTTGAGTGCTGGCCCCTGGGCAGCCAGGCGGTGCGCCTCAGTCCCCCATCTGTACAATGGGTGCGCAGTAGTGATTATCTCACGGTGGTAAGGGAAGTACACGGGGTACTTGTCACCTGCTTGGGACACACGGTGGCCTGCAGTCACGTTCCAGAACTGCAGCTAAGGTTTTCCTTACTAGTGAGACAGTATTTCTCACCAGTTTACCTACTAACCTGTGGACGGAATAAATCTGCAGGAGTAAACACCAAGAGGGGTGCGCGTATAGAACATACTGGGGGTCACTGATCTGTACTGATTCTCAATCCAGGACTCTAAGGGTGTCTCCCGTTTCCTCTCCCACACTGCACGGTGCCCTTTAGCTTCATTTTCAGTGTTGTGTTTTTAGCTGTCTACAGGCTCTGTTACTGTGTTCTTTTCACAAGCGAAACCATTGTTGATCAGAGGCTGAAACGTGCTTCCTTCAGAGTCGCTGCCTTGGGCCTGCTTCACGGCCGTCCTGGGACCTAGGCTGTGTGGCGAGAGGTGCCGCAGACGGCACTGAGTGCAGCAGAAATCACTCTTTCAGTTCTGGAGGCCAGAGGTCTGAGCTCCAAGCGTCAGCAGGGTTGGTCCTTCTGGGGGCTCAGCTGGACGGTCTGCCCCAGACCCCTCTCCCAGCTTCTGGTAGCTCCAGCGGTCCTGGTGTCCTTGGCTCGTAGGCACGTTACTTCACTCTCCGCTTTGGTTGTCATGTGGCTTTCTCCGTGTGTCTGTGTCCAAATGTCCCTCTTCTGATAAGAAGGCTCATTCTAGTCCAGTACAACGTGCTCTGAACCATTTGCATCTGCAAAGACCCTATTCCAAATAAGACCACGTGCACAAGTACATGAGGTGTGGACTTCAGCGTACCTTTCTGGGGGGCACAGTTCAACCCAAAACCCTTGTATTAGCCTTAAATTGTATTAACTGTTTCATTTTGGCTTATCTTCATATTCGAATTGTTGCGGAAAAGAGACGATCCCGAAGCAATTGAGCTGGTCCAGGGGTTTTCCAAGGGGTCCGCGTCGTGAGGAGCTGTCTCCGTCTCCAGAGACGCACCGTGTGTCTCCTTCCCTCCACAGGAAACTCGCAGTACAGCCAGCAGCAGGCGGGGTACCAGCAGGGCACAGCCCAGCAGCAGGCGGGGTACCAGCAGCAGTACCCCAACCAGCAGAGCTACCCCGGGCAGCAGCAAGGCTACGGTAAGGGGGAGGCGCCTTCCCTCACGGGGCCCCACACACGGTCACGCTGCCGTTCGTGCCGAGGGCGCTTAGTACACTTAATTTTCCAGCAGAGCTGTGTGGACAGCACCTCGTCCCACCACAGTGCCATCGTCCCAGTTCAGAGACTAACAGCGGCACGCTGCTGTGGGCTGAACTCACAGTTCACTCAGATCTCACTCATGTGCCCGCAGTGTCCTTTTCTGTCCCAGGACCCACCTAGGATCCCCCATGACATTTAGTTCCACATCTCCTTAGGCTCCCCTGGGCTGGGACCGCATCTGGGAAATCCTTGTCCTTCTGGACTTTGGCGGTCATCAGCAACACTGGGCAGGTGCTTTGTAGGACACCCTCAGGTCGGGCTTGTCTGAGGTTTTTCTCAGGATGAGACTGGGCTGTGGGCTTTGGAAGACCACGTGGGGGGCCTGTTTTTCTCATCCCACATCAACATGACTTGCCCCTGATATTGACCCTGACTGGTCCCCCCACCATCAAGTTATCCCTTCTTCCTCTCCCTTTCCTAATCTTTGGAAACCAGCCACTGAGTCCAGCCCACATTCAAGCAGGAATTGTCTACATAGACTGTTTGGAATTCTCTGTAAGGCAGAGTAATTAATTAGTGATAAGTTATTAATCATTTATTAATATGTATTTATAGATCTTAATTTTACACATTGGGTTATATTCCAGACTTCTCTGTTTGGTTCACGTTGTCCAGCTTTGCCTCTTGGGAGCTGGAGCTCTTCCAGGCCCTTTGACATGCTCCCATCCTTTTGTTTTTGAGCATTTCCTTATTCTCTGGGACGATGATGCTCTCCGAGCTCTAGCCCTAGAAGCAGCAGGTCTCACAGGACCTCTGGGTTCTCCGGCGGGAGAACTGCGTTAGGGACCAAGAGCCGGGTGCAGGTGGGCATTTTCTGAGCCACTCCCACACGGTCACCTGAGACAGTCCATGTATGGGTTAGTCTGGCAGCAGCTTCCAGAAGGGCTGGCCCACTCACCGGCTTTTGTTCACCCCACGAGGATTCCCTAAAGTGCGAAGGAGCCAGCAGGCCTTCACAGACTCTGCCGTGGAGCCCGCCAACAAGCATTGTTCTCCAGGCCCATCGGACAGAGAAGTGGACAGAGGGAGCTTTTTGGGCTACAGCAAGCAACAAGGGGAGAGCCCCGTCCACTGGAGATTAGCAGAGTGCAGGCTCAGGATAGTAGCCCGCACATCTGCCCAGTCCTCTGTGGGCCTCGTCCCCCTAGGCAGGTCCACCTGAAACAGTGCAGCCCCGGCCCCTGGCCTGTGGGTCATGTCTGCTGAGAGCCCAGACCGCATGAGGCTCTGCCCGAGTCCTAACCTGCTCCTGAGATGCACGTGGACTGCACTCCCCAGAACCCAAGGTGCCCCGGGGCGGGGGTGGGGGGAGTTGCTTCTAGATGCTGCTGTCACAGGAGGACAGCTGCCTAAGGTTGCCACCACGTGATGGCCTGGCAAACGATTAGCATTCAGAATACACAGTAGAAGCCGTCCTTATGACCTGAATGAGTATGGGATTAGTTCGTCAAAGGAGTGAGTTCCGGGAGTGTTCATAGAACATCCATGTGTCTGTACCTGAAACATCTTAGTTTAATGTAAATATAAACCTCCATTCACTCACCCATGCAGAGCTGGGCCCCGTTCTTCCATAAGCCACATGCCCCTCTGCGGGAGCTTGTCGGGGGCGGCGGGGCTCTGCCTTCGCACCTCAGGACCGCCTGGGAGGCTTTTGAAAAAATAAGATGGCAGGCTGGGCCCCCGCAAGACACGTGAGGTTTCTTGCTGAGCTCACTGGGGACGGTGGTACGTAGGAGGAAGGAAAGCCACAGTTTAAGATTCTTGTTCAACCCGTTGCAACCAGGACTCATTAAATAGCATTGTTTGAAAAATTATTTGGCCTTTATCAGTTCTTTCCAAGGCGTGAATCACCTTAGTTCCCACAGGAATGCCCACCGCCTCTCTCCCGCACGCGAGCAGCAGCTGCTGTGATGCTTAAGTCGCGGGTTTGCAGCGACCACGGTGGCAGACACGCCGCTGGCAGGAAGCCGGCGCAGGTGCGCTGGAGACCGGCCCGGGCCACACAGGACCCGCGGGCAGCTTTGGCCACGCGCTCGCTATGCTTGCGCGGCGTGGGTCGCAGGTTGAGGAGGACCGGGGAGGGTGCTTCAGGCGCTCCCGGAGGGCCGGGGGATGCCGTGGTGGTTCTCACGGTGCTGGTGTGTGTCCTCAGGGCCTGCCCAGGGAGCCGCCTCGCAGTACTCCGGCTACCAGCAAGGACAAGGCCAGCAGTACGGAAGCTACAGAGCGTCTCAGACAGGCCCGTCGGCCCAGCAGCAGCGGCCTTACGGCTATGAGCAGGCAAGACCCAGCGTGTCTGTGGAGACAGGACCAAGGTTTCTCTCGGGGTCACTCGGAGTAATGCGTGAACGAATGGGCTGCTAGGCTCCCTTCCAGAATGTTAATTCTCTGAGCCCGTGAGGCTTTTAGAAATTACCTCTACACATTTGCTCACCTGGGTCAGACATGGCTGGCTGAGTGGCTCTGGCCTCAGGGTCCCAGCCCAAGTTTGTGTCCAGCCCTGCTGCTGACCCCTTGGGGGCCCTTACTGGGAGGAGCTGGTGAGGGGCCTCGCTGACCTTCTGATGTCAGTCATTAGCCACAGGCTTGGACGGATGGCCTTCAGAAACCCAGGGGAGAGAGCTGTTTGCTTGCTTGCTTTTCATACCTCCTTCCATCCCTAATCCTGGGTTTAGGGGGAGGGGCCCGTCTTACACTTTTACTCGTGACTGTGGAAGCGTAACCTGTGTTTTGGTCTCTTGCAGGGCCAGTATGGAAATTACCAGCAGTAAGGAAGAAGCGGCTCTTGTTAGAGCCTTGCGGTGGCATGTCCCTCCATGGCTGGTCGGGCTGGTGGCAGTTCTGATGAACTCCGACCTCTTGGTTGCCCTTCGGCCCCACACAGCGTCTGCATGTGAAGCGTGCACATTTCATGCTGGGTATGATGCCAAGCATGCTGGCGAGAGACAGCGCTTTGATGGTGTGACGTATCTGGTGCTGTGTGTAGGATTGTATGTCCATGCAGTGGGGAGGTTGTCTCTTTTTTGTCCCCCCTCCTTGATGTTTCTAGCTAGTGTTAGGGGTCCTCTTGTCATCAGAGTATTCTGTGCCCAGGAATGGGACACAGCTACAAGATGCCATAGTCCGTGTGTTCACATAAATGGGCCTCAGGTCCGACTCTCCTCACACACTTGTCGAAATGTGGGTTGTAAACTTGTCTTTCACTGGCTACACCGCAGCTGGACACACACCACAGCCCCTGGATGGCCGCCTCTTCCTGTGCCTCCATGGGGGGAAGGCATCTTCTATGTCTTGGGTCAGTGTCTGTTACACAATGAAAGGGATAAATATGCTTCATGCGGAGAGGCTGTGAACAGTCTTTCCCAGAGCTCACACATTACCTGTGTCTCTCGCCAATTGTGTTTATCCAAAATGTCCTATGTGTTTGTACTAAAAAGTACAGAGGGATCAATGATTATATTCCAAATAAACATACAATTAGCCTAACCCAGGGAAGGAAAGAGGGTAGTTTCTGAAGGAAAGAGAGGGCTCTCTGAAATGGCTGGCATTGGCCCTTGTTTATCTGATGGTCACTTATGGGATTTAGATATTTGATATGCCCAATTCTAAATTGATAACTTAAAATATTTATACCAAATTTTCCAAACAGTTGGCAAGTTGTTTGTTTTATATTATTTCTTCCAGGACTTACTTGTTCAGATCTCCAAGCAAGCGTTCCTTTTCTTTTAGAGATATCTGAAATTCAGATCTTATTTTTAAAAAGAATCCCACAAATTTTACTGTGTTCTTCCTAATGAAAAGGAAAGGTTTTATATGGGAAAATTTGAGTAAATTTTACATTCCTAGGACATTAAATCCCATTTAAATTCTACACAAACATTAAAGACAGCTCACTTGGAAAAGTATAGTCAAAAGAAAAACTCTGTATTTCACTAATTAGTAATACAGATATTCTGTCAACTTTTACCTGGACAGTAATACCCACATGAATACTTTAAAAACATCTTTGGATAAATGCTGACATACTTCTAAGAACAACCAAGAAAATAAATAAAAAATCCAATTCTTGATATATCAGGTCTACTGAAAATGATTTTTTAAATTGATAAGTTTCAGAAATGTTTTAAAAGTCTAAAGTAGTTCTTTATCCAGAGCTGTTGAATGGTTTACAGTTTATGAGGTATTTTATGTTGTTTTTGTTTTGTTTTGTTTTTTTGCTTGAATGAATCCTGACAGTCCACACTGGGAAATATGGGGGCAATTACTGTTCCCATTTTACCGATGAAGAACCAAGGCGCAGATTAAAGATTGCCCCAGACGAGTGCCAGTTCTATTCTAGGATATTTTCCCCTCTTCTGTGGGGACAGAATCATGCAAGCACTGGGATAGGAGTGTTTATCTTAGAGGCATATGGGTTTTAAAAACTCTTGACACTGGTAAGGGCTTAAAAATACATATCTATATTAAATTCTGAAATGAGAGTTCTTAATTGCTAAATGACACAGACATTAGCAATTTCATTTAGGGAGGTGTCTCCCTCGCTTCTGTTCTTTCTTGGCAGTTTTCATAGAGCTAATTTGCAAACTCATCCGGGGACTAAAATTCCCCATTGAAAATGTTAAACATTTTAGATAACTGTGAAAGTCGTTTTATTTTTATTCCTTACCAATCTGCGAATATGCCTTTTGTGTGTGTGTGTGTGATTTTTTTAAGTGCTGTATTAATACTTTTTGAAAGAAAAGGACACTTGAACTTATCCCAAAACTTCAATCTGAAATGTCTTACATTAAGAATTTCTTGAATGTTGTGTATATATTTTAAAAAGCACTTTGTGAAATAGTTTGTACATTTATTTCCTAATTTATACATGATTTTTGGTATTAATATATTTAATGATTAATAACAGAATGTTTATTTAATGTGCTGTCCATTTTTATGTAATATTGTGGGGGAAAAGTGATGCCAGCAGTTCTTTTTCATTAAAGATATTATATCTTCTCTTCTGTAATATGTTTGCAAAAGCTTAGGCTAAAGTGAGTTGTTTGTGCAGTGTGTTCGATGGTGCTTTGTTTTTTATGACTGCTTCCACAGAAGGCCAGTGGACCTGGACGTTGGCGCTCATTCTTCCTGAGATGTCCCTGACCCCCAGCAGGTTGTGGATTTGAGACATGCCCATGGTGTCCAGAAGTGCTCACAAACTCACAGCGGCTGCAAGGCCTTGCCCTGGTGCGTGGTGGGCTGGGACCCAGGCTGCTGGAAGGCCCCCAGTGCTCGCCGCCCCCCGGTCCTGCCGACGTTGTGCGAGCAGGCGCTCCGAGGGCAGCGCTGCTGCTGCCGTTCCCCTTTAGATTTGTGGAGCTCTTCCTTCATTTCTATTAATTGAACAGGTCAGATTCATCTCATTTGTGAGCACAGTACATTTTCTGGAAAACATCCTATCAGTTCATTTTTTTCCAGTCAGAGTTTGGCGCCCATAAATTGCTTATGATTTGGTGTAATGTACGAATAAACTGGTTCTTCAAAACCACTCTAACTAGGGAGTTTCTGTGCTTTGTGTTCAGACCAGTGGACCAGCGCCTGATCATGGAGGGGGCAGTGGGCATCCATCTGATGGGGGAGGCGGGTGCTGACCGGGCGCAGCCAGTGCCTGAAGGGGGATGTCCGTGTCTGTCTGACAGGGGAGGCCAGTGTCTGATGGGGGCAGTGGGTGTCTCACAGGGGAGGCCAGTGTCTGAAGGGGGATGTCCGTGTCTGTCTGACTGGGACGACAGGTGTCTGACGGGAGGCAAGTGCCTGTCTGGCGGAGCAGCAGTTTCCTGATAGGGACAGCCAGTGTCTGACGGGGGAGGTGGGTGTCTGTCTGAGGGCGGCAGCAGGTATCTGATAGCGGAGGTGGGTATGTGTCTGACGATGGTGGTGACTGTCTGACAGGGACAGC